CGGCCCCAAGCTATCTCCAACCATGCCAAGATGTCGATATCGCACGGTTCTTGGCTTTCGCCATGTGTGTGCCGCTTGCATCTCTCCCCACGGGTGCTTAAAGGTAGCAGAGCCCCCGCAGCGGAAATGCTTGACTCTTCACTTTTCTTCTTAGCACCCAGAAGCACTCACAATGGGCAAGAAGCAACCCTCCCTCGAGGGCCACAAGTCTGGCCAGGCTAACGACCCCCTCTCCAAGCCCGCCCACGCCCTTACCTGGAAGCAGGTGGTTGAGGAGGTCAAGTGCAATGCTGAAGACGGACTCACCACTGCGGAAGCAAAGTCTCGACATGAAAAGTACGGCAACAACGATCTCGGCGACGATGGAGGAGTATCGCCAGCCAAAATTCTACTAAGACAGGTCGCCAACGCTATGACACTGGTAGGTCAATTGCCGTCACTGCGAACCAGAGACAGCGAAAACTAACCCAACGCAGATTCTAATCGCAGCCATGGCCGTCTCATTTGCTATTAAATCATGGATCGAGGGTGGTGTAGTAACTGCCATCATTCTGCTCAATGTTGTCATCGGGTTTGTGCAAGAGTACAATGCTGAAAAGACAATGGACTCTCTCCGATCCTTGTCTTCGCCTACTGCCACGGCTGCCCGAGACGGAAAAACGGTCACGATCCCCACTATCGAGGTAGTTCCTGGTGATCTTATCGAGCTAAAGACAGGTGACACTGTTCCAGCGGATATTCGGTACGTTATTGCCACGCTAAACTCAATTTTATGGCACACGCCACTGACACACATACAGCATCATTGAGGCTTTGAACTTCGAGACCGACGAGGCCCTGCTTACCGGAGAATCACTCCCTGTATCCAAAGATGGCGATGCCGTCTTTGACGAGGATACTGGCCCTGGCGACCGTCTCAACATTGCCTACAGTTCCTCGACTGTCACCAAGGGACGTGCTCGCGGTGTTGTTTTCGCTACTGGCATGCACACCGAGATTGGATCTATCGCCATGTCCCTCCGACAGAAGGGTTCGCGCGTCCGGGAGGTCAAGCGTAAGCCCGATGGAAAGGCTAAGCCACATCGCTACGCCCAGGCATGGTCTTTGACTCTGGCTGATATGGTTGGCCACTTCCTTGGTGTCAACGTCGGTACTCCGCTGCAAAAGAAACTCGCTCGCCTCGCTATCCTCTTGTTTGGTGTTGCGGTCGTCTGCGCTATCATTGTGCTTGCTGCCAACAGCTTCTCGAACAACAGCGAGGTTATCATTTATGCAGTTGCTACTGGTCTCTCTATGATCCCAGCTTCTCTTACTGTTGTCCTGACCATTACTATGGCTGCTGGTACGAAGCGCATGGTGCAGCGTCACGTAATTGTGCGCAACTTGAAGTCTCTCGAGGCTCTTGGTGGTGTTACCGATATTTGCTCCGACAAGACTGGTACCCTTACACAAGGAAAGATGGTTGCGAAGAAAGCCTGGATCCCCGCCAAGGGAACCTACTCTGTTGGACAGTCTGACGAGCCACACAACCCTACTGTCGGAGCTCTGTCTTTCAATCCCAAGCAACCCCGACACATTGACGCTGACATGGACGAGAAGACTTCGACCTGGGAGGAGCTTCTCCAGGACAACCCGCATTTCGTAGACTATCTCAAGGTTGCATCACTTGCGAATCTGGCCCATGTTCACCAGACTGACGAGGGCCAATGGAATGCACGAGGTGACCCCACTGAAATCGCTATCCAGGTGTTCGCATCTCGCTTCAAATGGAACCGTCTCGAACACACAGGTGGTGACACACCTGCCTGGAAGCAACTTGCTGAATTCCCCTTCGACTCCGACGTTAAGAAGATGTCTGTTATCTTCGAAGAGACTGCTACCAATAAGAAATATGTCTTCACCAAGGGTGCCGTTGAGCGAGTCATCTACTCGTGCACACGCGTATTCACTGACGAGAACGATGCTGGCGTTGAGCTGGACGACGACTACCGCGAAGAGATTTTGGCCAACATGGAATCTCTCGCCGCCATGGGACTGCGTGTTTTGGCTCTTGCAAGCAAGGAATACGATGGGCCTTCTCCCCAAAAGGGCGAGGAAATCGCACGTGATGGAATCGAGCAAGACCTCACCTTCCGTGGCCTCGTCGGTTTGTATGATCCCCCTCGACCTGAGACGGCCGGTTCCGTTCGTCAGTGCCAGAAGGCGGGCATTGAAGTCCATATGCTTACTGGTGACCACCCTGGCACTGCTCGCGCTATTGCTATCGAAGTTGGTATCGTACCTTCGAACATGGGAACTCTTCCTAAGGAAACCACGGATGCCATGGTCATGACTGCATCCCAGTTCGACAAGCTCACCGACGACGAAATCGATGCTCTCCCACTTCTCCCACTTGTCATTGCCCGTTGCGCCCCGAACACCAAGGTCCGCATGATTGACGCACTCCATCGACGAAAGGCTTTCACTGGTATGACTGGTGACGGTGTCAACGACTCTCCATCTCTTAAGCGCTCGGATGTCGGTATCGGAATGGGTACTGGATCTGATGTCGCCAAAGACGCCTCTGATATCGTTCTGACCGACGACAACTTTGCATCTATTCTCAACGCCATCGAGGAGGGCCGTCGCATGTTTGACAACATCCAGAAGTTCATCCTGCACCTGCTCGCCCAAAACATCGCGCAGGCATGTGTGTTGCTTATTGGTCTTGCCTTTAAGGACGAGAGTGGACTTTCCGTCTTCCCTGTGTCTCCCGTTGAAGTCATGTGGATTATTATGATTACCTCGTCGCTTCCCGATATGGGTCTTGGTTTCGAAGTTGCTGCGCCAGATATTCTCAACAGGCCTCCACAGAGTGTAAGTTTCCCACCACTGAACAAGATATGTCGTGGACATTTACTGACAAGCCACAGCTTAAGCGCGGTGTTTTCACCCTCGAGGTCATCTGCGATATGTTCGTCTACGGTCTTTGGATTGCTGCACTCTGCCTAGGTGCCTTTTCCCTTGTCATGTTCGGCTTTGGCGATGGCAACCTGGGATTCAACTGCAACGAGACGTACAACCCCACTTGCGAGACCGTGTTCCGCGCCCGTGCGACCACTTTTGCCTGCCTTACCTGGTTTTCGGTTTTCCTCGCATGGCAAATGTTGGACATGCGGCGCTCATTCTTCAGGATGCAGCCTGGATCGAACAAGTACTTCACGCAGTGGGCACTCGACGTCTGGCGCAACAAGTTCCTCTTCTTCTCCATTGTCTTTGCGTTTGTCACCATCTTCCCTGTCCTGTACATTCCCGTCATCAACGACAAGGTGTTCAGGCACAAGGGAATCAGCTGGGAATGGGCCATTGTGTTCATTGCCACATTCCTCTTCTTCCTCGGCATCGAGTCGTGGAAGTGGGGCAAGCGAGTCTACTTCAGGAGGCGCGACGCAAAGAACGGTGGTGGCAGGAGGGGCTCCATTGATCTGGAGCAGCGTGTGTTTGAGCGATACCTCAGCACAGCTATTAGCACCGATGAGGATGCGGCCGACAAGAAGTCGTCTGCTTAGGCGTACAATTGAAGTATTTGGAACGATGATACCAATGCCATGTATTTATTTGGATTTTTGAATGTTTTATGGCAGAGGGCACTCTGCAAAGGGGAGTTTGAATTGGGTTGCATAGCATGCGGTTACGATGATACCTTGGGCACTCTGTGCCGGAAGATGAGATTTCCTAGTTGTATTACGTACATAGTAATCAAGACATGAAAAACAACAACAGTATTGGACTATTACAAGTTTGCGACTGAGAGTATTGATACGTCTGCGGACTCGTTGGCTCCGTACACTAGACCCAGCACAACAGCGGTAGAATATGGTGCCTGCTCTTATGCCGAAGATAACCATAGCAATCAATCAACTTGGCTGTATGCCAATACATCCTTGAGTTAGTTTATTGGGCTGGGATTGCTTCTCCTCAAACCTTGTGTAACCGTGCAAGGGGCTGCTGCTGGCTAGGCGTGCCACCGTGATCCACAGGTGGCCTTCTGGACTCGGTTATGCGGGTGGGATGACTTGGCAACCTTTTCCGCTCCACTCCGAACCAAGGCCGATGAAGTGGGTCCTCTGAGCGCCTCGGGATCGCTTACAGCCAAATCGCATCTTGGGCCTCTTCTGGCAAACGTCAGCCCAGCCAGCCGAGACTGCGAATTGTTGAAGGCCGGCCTAAGACAAAGCCAGGGTGGGTGCGTGGCTGGTGGAGCGGAGTTGGCTTGGACATGCGGACTGATATAAGAGGAGGTATCAGCTGCATGTCGAAACAGGACCTGACAGATGTTTATCTCGAGGGTCAACGTGACATGACAAGGCGCAGCGCTGTCACGGCAAGAAATGCCCGGGCCAGGAGTGTCCAGCATACTCACTGTATGTAAGCCCACTGCGCCCACTGCAGAGTCGCGCGGGTTGCCGAGTTTGGCCATCAGTAAGAAGGTGGCCACCACACGGTCAATACGGCCAGAACGACCAACACGACCCTATGCGGTCGAGTGGCTTGCAGACCGGTCACTTACTATATACTATGTTGTCGAATAGGGCTAAGAACATGGACCGCGAAGCTGACAACGGACGACGTGGCTTTGGAGGCTGTGTGGATGGAGATGTCATACACCCCAGGCCGAGCCTCGGATAAGATCCAGTCCGGGGTCCTATGTCTCTTAGGTCATAATCCATTGCGAACCCCCCCGCCTGCTCACCCAAACCCAAACCAAACTCGCCTTGTCACCCGCCGGCTGTCGCGGAAATAACCACAAAAAAAGCATTTTGCACCTGGTTCACGACCAAACGACTAATCGCCAGGGTATTCTATCTCGAAGCCATCGGCTGCACGCGCAATCCGTTCCTGCCGTCTTAGCCGCTTGCGTCAGTTCCCTCACCTGCGTTCCCCGCAACGTGCCTCTCCACCTGCATCGCTTTCTCTCCGATCCGATACCAAGACCAAGACCCAGTAAACCGCAACTTGCCATGCCAGCAGTTTCTGGTCAGCACGGTGTTCACTTTCTCCATGCACGAGAATGGCAAAAGACTGTCGGCAACTCGGGCATGACGCCCACTGCATTTAGCTTCTTGATTCCTGTATTTGTCGTGGCTATCATAGCGCCTTTGTAAGTATTTCCAGATCTAGATAACCATCCCATTGCTATGCGCATCACCGTCTTTCGTGGACAACTGTAAAACAAACAATTCCGACCAATCGGTCCAGATACGGGACGTTTAAGTTAATTGAATGGACAGTCTGTGCATCTTCTGCATTCGCAAACGACGGCGAACACAAATTCCTGTCACAATACGGCCAACGACAAAAGTCAAGAAGCCTGCGCTTAGACGAGAAGAAGCAAGAGAAAAGCTCAAAGAAGTCACTGAGGTACCTTCGCAAGCAAGCGATGCAGGAGAAGAAAACCGAGAGAGGCCCGAAGGAGAATCCCAGTCCATATCTGAGAAAGAGTGGTATGCCAACCCATCATCGCACATATTATTGACCTGAATTCTGACACACCCATCAGTGCCATATGTCTTTCAGCCCTCTACCTACCGTCGCCGCCAGAGCCTGCAAAACTCTCTCCAGAAACACCTGCTGCCGACACTCCCGCGCCTTCATCCGTAGCATCCGACCAGCCCCAATCCACTAGCCCAACCATCACCACCACTGCCACCACCACGGCCACCTCTCCTACATCTACTCCCCAATCCGACTCGGAACCCATTCTAAAGCTTACCGTCTGCTCCCATGAATTCCACGCCGAATGCCTCGTATCATGGTTCGTCCTGCGCAAAACCAGCTGCCCCATTTGCCGCTCCATGTACATGAGCAAAGAAGAAATGGACAAATACGACGAAGAAGAGCAGATCGCCCTCGGCGGCACACCCTCCACCACCATCGCAACGCCCACCCCGGATCTTGAAGCGCAGCAGACAGCGGCGCAACCGGAAGCAGCGGCTACGGTGCGCAACTGGCAGTACTTTTTGTACGGGCGCGATGCGTATCGGCGGGCAAGGGAGCGACGGGCTAGGACGCAGGGACAGAGTCAACCTGCCGTTGAGATGCAGACTCAGACTACGACTGGTAGCGAGGAGAGCCAGCAATCTGATACTGATACGGAGGCTGCGACTGCGACCGCTCAAGCGACAACACAGCAACCGGAGCAGCCGACTAGATCGAGATGGCAGCGATTGCTCAGACGGGGGTGATTATCGCATCAGCCCTGCGACATGACCGATACGACCTCGATTTTTGATGAGATGTTTTCACATTTACGTATTGTACATTGTTTTTCTTTTTTGCTCTTTTCCCCTCTCCCTCTCTCTCTCATTCTTTTCTGGGAATTATATACTACGAATGCGTCATGTGAATATACGATTTTGGGCGGATATTCATATTTTGTTTATTTTCTACTCACAGTTTGCACACAGAGTTCGAGATACCCAGAAATGGTTTTCTTTCTTCTTCAAAAGGGGCGTAGACCCCCCCCCCTTTTTTTTGCTACGAGTAGATGTTTTATTGAGATGCAAAGACCATGGTATCGAGTAAATTGTACAGAATGTATCATAACGCACATATGGAATAAGATATCTCTGTATCAAAGGCAAAATCCAAGTATTCATATGCAAAGGACTTGCACGTCAAGTTGATTGAGATGATTGAAAAAAACAAACGTCCCACATAAGACACTAAGGATTCAAGCCAATCGTACATCTATTCTTTGACACATGGACAAAATGGGGGGGGTATTCTGATGAACAAAAGGCAAAAAAGTCCACCACCATCTACCGATAACACCAATATCTACCATCTAATTCAAAAGGCATTTTTTCTCTCTCCCCACCACATCTACTCCTTTGGTTTGAACACACGATGCCTAGCCAGCAGCTGCGAAATCATAAAATGCGATACATCCTCGTCCGCCCAATACGTCATGTGACTAGCAATACTAGCCAGAAGCGAAATGTCAAACGCCTATTATTGTCTCAATGTTAGCACACGCATGATGCCTAAGCAAACGAAAGATACAAAGGGTACTTACACCTTCCTGGATACTGTAATCCACCCTCCCGTTCGAATTCAACCGGCGCACCTTTTGCTCCTCCTTTTTCAGCTTGCGGCTTCGTTCTTCGAGCTCCTGCCACTCGAGATCCTTTTCAATGTCGTGTTCGCCATCTTCGGTCTGTTGGCTCTTTCTGCGCTTCTGGAAGCCGGCGAAGAGGGTTTCAATGTCTGATTCGATCAGGGTGGGTGGATGCTCGCCGTCTTCACCCTCGGCAATGGTTTCTTGGCCGAGGCGGCGGCGCCGTTCTTCGCTGATGAAGGCGCTCGTGGGCTCGTTGAGGCCTGGGACGAGGTTGGCATTGCTGGAGTTGGGAGCGGCGGTTAGAGGGCGAGAGGATCGTTGGCCTTGAGCGCCGCTGGCCATGTCGCTTCCTGAGATGCCCAAACTTCGGTTGAGGAGTCCGCTCGCGATACCTGCGGAATATTTGTTAGTACCAATAAGGATATAGGAATGAGTCTAGGCGATTGCTTGAAGTTTCCAGTATTGCAACTCTACACAACGACTTCTGAGTTAGATCAAAACTTACCTGAGCCGAGAGAGGTCCAGAAGTCTGTCACGCCCTGACCAACCCGTTGACCAATGCCAGTGATTCCTTGAGCCGCTGGCGTTCCGAAGATGCCCTTCTTCGTATATGGTAGGGGTTGCGCCTTCAGAGAGGACATGGCGGGTGATATCAAAGGTTCAAGACGATAGCTAATGGGGTCGGTCGGGTGGAAGATGTTGAAAACCTGCTTGCAAAGTGGCGAGGAAGTCGTTATGTCGAAGGCATGCTCATCAACTTCTGGTGCAAATGGGTCATCAATAGGCGTCGCAGGTGTTACCGGTGGGACAAAGGTAGTTGAAGCAGCTTGTGGTCTTCCGGCAATCGTTCTTCCCTTGAGCATCTGGAAAAGGCCGATAGGCGATCCAAGTGCATAGAAATCCTCTACTTCAAAGTCCAGTTTCAGGCCTTCTTCAGTTGATCGCCGTTGTTTGGCTGTTTGCGAACTCGGTTTCGCCTTGGGATCTTTTTGCATGCAAAGAACATCAAACATGATAGCAGACCCGAGTGAATGGCCAACAAGACTCACTTTACCCTTGAAAGAAGGATTACGCTCTTTGAAAAGGTGGTAGGCACGGTTGAGCTCCTTGACAACGATTCGTGAAATATGGCCTTTGTATGCGGGGCTTTGGTATAGTAAAATGTCAAGAGCGAGATCTGTAAGAAAGTTACGGACGGCAGGAACACCTTCAACGGTAATGTCCTCGAGGTTAGGGTACTCTTCATCTTCATGGTCAAGATCGCCCAGGTCATGCTCCTTGCGATTATGCTTGAGACTCTGTTTTGGGAAATCTAGAAGGTGTCGCCAAATGATGGGAATGCACTGGATACGGTTGTTCTTGGTTGTTGACTCAACCTCCGCATTAAGAGCCTGTAGGTCAGGTGAGGCTGCATACACAGACTTGAGAGATTTACGCATGGTGTTCACATCATGGATGAAGTTGATTGACTCCATGCGCATGCCAAGTCGTTGCCCGATACCATGGGTGACCAGAAGCAGGTGCTCGATTTCACGGCCTTGGTCACTGTCGTTCTGAGCCTTGTAATCCTCGCGCATCTCCTTTTCCTCACGTTTTCGCATTGCCTCTTCCTGTTGCTGCTCATATTCGGGTTTCGAGGACGTCAACAGCGAGGATACCTGCCTCTCTAGATTACGTCTGCGCGTTTGTGAAGGCGACATGCTCCTTTCGTTTTCCGATGTGTCTTCGTCAGTATTAGCGTCCGAATCCGACTGTTTGCCGTGATCTGAACCATATGCCAGGGACGGGGTCTCGGGTCGTCCGCTCGGCTTCACGCTCTGGGGGCCTTTGGCCAGAGGCGGCTGCTTCTTCTTGTCTGCCGGGTCCGTATACCCGCGAATGTACTTATTTCCAGCGTAATGTGCGCCTCCGGCAAAGCGTTGGTACAAAGTGCTACCCATACGTGACCACATATCGTCCGTCAGCAACCATGCTGTTGTCTCATCTTGATAAGTCACGGTCGAATTCAGATGAGCGCCAAAGAGGCGATGCGTCCTAGGCAGGTCCGCGGGGGCATTTGAATTTGCAGCAGAATCTGCTTGCTTTGCATCTTCGGCCTGGTTTTCAGCTTCCTTTTTTAGACTATCGTACGAAGACTTTGGTGTTACAGGATTCGATGTCGAGTCACGGTTCAGCCGACCCAGCTCTTTTCGGTGGTCTTCACCAGCGAGCGGTCCCATGGACAGCGGCCTGGCGCGAGGCTGCGAAACTGCTCGCTTCTCCTCTGGTTTCCCAAACTTCCACGGCTTGACTTTTAGATAACCTTCCTCGAGCTGCATAGCCAGGCCCTCGTCAACAGCCTCGCCATCTGGTGTAAACCACGTTCCTCGCTTAACATCGTATACCGGTCCCAGCCAGTATGCTGGCGCCAACTCACGTGTTTCTATCTCAACATCGAATAGATAGTCCTCGTTGACAGGGACCTTTGTGGTCTTGGGTGCCACGGGATTTGGCTGGATGGGCGTCGAAGGGCTTCCAATTCCTTTCCGCAACTCGTCCATATCCGCCTCGTCGGCTGTCTTCTGGAATGCTGTCTCGATAGCGCGCGAGTCACTGGCACTAAAGGGTATCCATTTTCTAGGCTTAGGTAGGGCGGTATCGGGCGCCATGGCATGCTTGGAGAGTGGTTTCCTTTTTGGAGTCTGCGGTTGTTAGTGAGAGAAGACACGAGACGACTCCCCCGAAGTGCCTGCGCAAGACTCCCAGTACATTAGTGTACTTACATCTATGGCATGGAACCATCTCACGGCCAGCGGAGGGCAGTCCTGAGGATAGCGCTTGAGACTCAGCCGGTGCCTGCGATCGATAATGTGGTCGCCTCCTTGCTGAGGAGCGAGCCCAGTCGCGATACGCTCTTTCTCTTTCTCTTGCTCCATCTTCTTCACTTTCTCTACACCCGCATCGAGCTTGGGCGTCGATGGAGGCTTGGGTGTGCCGGCACGAGAGGACCACGGCGAGAGATTTGAGAGGAAGCCCTGCTTATTATCAGGGGCAGACATCCTGTCGACTGGCGGACTGCTCCCACCTACGGAACGGAGTTTGCTGAGCCAGGACTGGGCGCGGTGTGGTGAAGCTTGGGGAAAGACGGGCTTCAGGCGGGGTGGGCGACGAAGCACACGAAGAGCAATGTGTGGATGCAGCGTGGATGCGACGTGATGGCGGTGAGAAAAGCAGAAACGAAATAAAAAACGAAGAAGAGTAGAAACGAGTAAGCAATAGAGAGAGGTCAGGTCATGGCATGTGCGTGTGCGTGTGCATTGAGTTGAAGCATGTCTTGCATGTGCTTGCCGCGACATAAGCCCGCGACCCGCCTGTTACATCACTCATTCCAGCCCCCTGTCGCTTCCCAACACGTGGGGCACCCATGAGCCCATCTGCATCCTTAATCATCTCCGAAAAGCACCGCCACCATTGCATCCTCAAACCATCGCCATGGCAATCTATACGCTGGCTGACCTACATATGCCCTCACGGCGATCGTCCTCGATCCCTCGTCAGTACCACCGCATGGCCGCCGCAGGGCAACAGGACCACCGCTTCTCTCTCGCCGATGCAGCGAACCTGAAGCCCAAACTCCAGGCCCTGGACAAGGCCCTAACTAGCACATGTGTCGGCCACGGCAGAGAGTTGGATTTCACCAGCATCGATGATGCAGTGAACATACAGCCCCCTCATGTTGCCGTCTACGTTGACGGCTCAGAGGAGTTTTTTCTCATGGTGAAGACCATCTCGCGGCCAGACCTCATCCCCAAAGTCTTGGCCGAAGCAATCAAGACCATGTCCTACGGCCGGCCTCATGTAAATATACAGCGCGCCTCAGACTTCAGGAAGGGCGCAGACCCCACTTTCTCCGACTTCCGTCCTATGCTTCCAGACATTGATCGCCTATGCGGAACTGATCTTGCCGGCGCCGTCGCCAGGCTCGAAGCTCAAGGCAAGCTGAGGGTTCCGTCCAGAGAGCAATTACGTGCCTGTACTGACACGGCACAGTCTCACCTTTTCCCTTTTTGCAACTTCCAGCTGAGCTCCGCCTGCAAGTGTACTCGTACGTTCTGCCCGAGCACCCTCGCGGTATTCTCCCGCCCTGGTGTCGCAAAAACAATGGCCGGCGCCTTGCTCTCATGCGCGTCAACAAGCAATTGCACAGTGAAGTGCGGAAGCATTACTATGAAAATGTGAATTTCCTGATTGCAACCGTTTTCCAGCTTGAAAACACATCCTTATACGAAGACAACACCATAGCTCTCCGCCATTTAATAGAGAGTATGGATTCTAACACCTTTCCTCTGATCAAGCAGCTTTCCGTCCGCATAAATGGCTCCACAGTTCAGGAAAGTCTTCGTACAGGGCCACCCTCGCCTCCATTTGCTCTAAAATACATATTTGATACATTTACAGGCCTTGAGAAGCTCACTATCACATTCGGTGCCGCACCCCGTTCTAACATGTGGGCGGGACAAGATGTGGAGTCTATCCATCGCAAGTACATGGAACAGATGAAAACGCGCTTCATCAAATACATCCCGCCATCAATCAAAGTGTCCTGGTGGCACGAAGATGCAGCAAGATTCTTCAACAGCGACATCGTAGAGAAGTCCTTATGGACCGCCATACAAGAGCGAGCATCAACATGCACAGATGAAAGCGTTGATACTTCATCTTGAATAAATCACACTACGCTCTATACCATTATATGTATACCAATAAAAACAACCCCTCCTTACCCTAACAACGCCGCTGCCTTATAAATCTGATACCCAGCCAACCCACTTCCAACCGCCCAAAAGCTACTCCTCACAAAACTCGTCGCATGATCCGCAATCTGCACATACGACACTACGTACGCTGTCCTAACCGCAAACCACGCCCCCACAAACGTAGTCAGGCCCGTTGCATCGCCAGACACTACTTCACGTCCCAGCCCCACGGCTGTCGTGCGCTCAGCAAGGATACTCGCAAGTACTGCAGCGGCGAAGAGAGGTAGTTGCTCCATGTTGTTTGCGTGTGCGTTCTCGGCACGTTGGTATTTCTGGAAGCTGTTTTGTTGTATGTTAGCCTTTTCTCTTGCTCACATGTACATAATAGAGAAGATTTATAGAGAGAGAGAGAGAGAGAGAGAGAGAAAATGACATACACTGCATCCGGCACCTTCCCCTTCACAGCGTCTGGGGACAAGGAGGCCTTGGGGTTCGCATTGTTGACTTTGTAGCCGTTCGATGAAAGCAGGCTGCCTGCGTAGCCGTGGGGTATGAGGGAGAAGACGTAGTAGGCTGGAATGGCGAGGAGGGGGTAGTTGAGGCCGTTGGAAGGCATTTTGTTGTTTGTTGAATTCAATTGGTTTGATGGATATATGGCAATTGGTTTGGTTGCGTCTCTTTCGTGAAGGACAAGAAAAGAGGTGTTTTGTTTGAATGTTGCGGGATCGTCATGGACTCGTCAATAAGAGGATTGACGTAGCCATGAGCTAGCGCTGTCAATATGACGCCAACTTCTCTGAACTACCAGCATCAGAATCCTTATTTTCGCTAAGTATGCCATTGGACATGGCACGTCTTCTTGCGCTGGAAATGTTTGATTCAATTTTGAGCGCATGTATCGACTAACAGCAACATCTATTCCCATCATCAAGTCTATCAAATCATGCAATCCTTGCAACACTCATAATATCCCCTTCTAGATGCAACGCCTGGAACTGTGTAAGCACCTCTGGCAACTTCTTCCTATTTCCATCGACAGCAGCATCTGTCCTCTCCTTTGCCGCAACCCCAATCATGAATTTTTCGTCAAAAGCCTGAATCTCCACTCGTGTATCGTCCAACCTCTTACTCTCATCCTTCTTCATACCCTTTACACCTGCAGGTCCCTTGCCATCGGCCTTCATCGTGAACCAAACCTCTGCATCACTGATGCGTTCTCCCCATGTTCCATGCGTGCTGCAACGTGCAGGAGTCCCAGCACGGGGCGCACGCACGTTCTTGAACTCTAGCCGGGGGATCCACTGTGCAAGGAGAGCTTCGCCGTCAAGCTTGATGTAAGCCTCCTTGTAGCACCAAAACGTGTAGAAACGGCGCAACTTTGCATCAATCAGGAGTTCTGAATCAAATACCCGCTTCTCTCCACTCGGGAGCGTGATGCTGAGTTGCTTGTGCCGTGCACAACATCGATCATGGCGACCGGTTATCTCTTGCGTGACTACTGTGCCGTCGAGGAGAGGAAAAGGATCAACGTTGTACTTGAGATCAAACAACTCCTCTTGGCTGTAGATTTCGGCGTACATGTCTATCCAGCCGTCGAAGCCTTCCTTGTCTATAACACGGTATTCGTCTCTTTCGTTGACACAGACGATATCCACACCTACTTCCGCATCTAGCTCGTCCGTCTTGCACCCAACCAAGGCCACAAGGCCGGCTTGGTGCGAGATGTTGAACTCAAGAGGTGCTGGGCCGTACTGTGGCGGCGGCAACAGCGCAATGGGCTTTCCATGCTTGGGATCCCGTTTGCGACCGAAGCGGATGTCTTTCCATGGGATCCCCAGCATCTTGTGGACGAACAGACGCTTGAGTAGTGCCGAGCCGAGGCTCATACGAGCATCAGCTATGTGGTACTTGCGCGTAATGTTCTCGCGCTCTTCAAGGCTGACTAGTGAAAGAGCTTCTCGGGCCTAGGATAATAATTAATGATATGCCAAAAGAAGCCGGGGTGATGAAGACCAACAGCTTCGGAGTCCGTAATCTTGGTACCGGGCCATATTGACCGAGTATCCAGGAGCCAGCAAGTGAAACTGGTCCCTACTGTTCGGTTGTCGGTTTGGTCCGCCATTGTGCTTCAGATGAAGCAATCCTGGGCGGTAGCAAGACAACAAGTCGAGCAACCGATATAGTAGTCTGGTCGGACGGGACAATTCCGAGTTGCGGACCCCACTTGGCGGGCTCTTCGGCTTATATGAGCTTTTCGGCGCCCGACGCAATAGCTTGGAGATTTACGGAGGTGCCTTTCAAAAGTTCTGTCTGACGCTAATTTCGGCGCTTCGGCGTAACTATTCTTGGCATAACTCCTACCTTTAAGCTAAGCTGTTAATTAGTTATAGTTATCTATCTACTATAGCTCCTAATACTAATTCTTACACCCGTGCCTTAATTATAACGTTAAAGTTATCTCCTATTAGTAAGTTAATATTATAGATCTTAGAGCTAACTAGCGTTTATCCTTATATAGTTAATTGTATCTATAGTAGAGCTATCGCTACTAGCTTTAAGCTAAACGTTCTTCTTCTTAAGATCCTCCTATATTACGTTTAGGATACCCCTCGCTCTAGTAGACCTACTAAGTAGATAGAGAAGGTAAAGNAGTAGATATTTTAATAAGTACGACGCGATAGATATAAATAAAAGAAGACCTACGCTAACCTTACTAGTATGCTTAGT